CAGGAGATACTAGCTCCTAAAAAAAATCCTGCCAATGTTAAGAAAATAGGTAATGGAAAACTCTGAAATTGCATTCTTCTTTTAACTGCAATTCCACTTTAGTCAGTCTGCTGAGTCTGCTACAGAAGAAGAAAAAACCAGGACATATTTTTTCCTCTCCCTACTTCCCACCCACAGGTCTTGCTTTAGATCATAATATAATTTTTAAATTGACAAGGTTTATAACTTCAATTTTTTACTGTCTCTATAATTTCCACAATTGTTTAACCTTAGTTCTGTATGTGGATCCCTGACTGGTCAGTAGTCTTGTCATAGTTTCCCATTCCTGAGTCTCTAATGTGAATTTCTTTCTAGACTGGCTGGATTTGGTCCTCCACCGTTATGTGTGGATATGTGTATTCATGTATTCATGTGCATGTGCATGTTTTTAAAGATGGGCTCAGGCTCAGCTGCTTTGTTCTCCTTTATCATCAAGTTCTTACATGTTTGTGTCTGTCTGTTTGCCTCTTAATTATACTTCTGCTTAAAACATTAGTGTAGTCTTGATATGTTACGACTTAAGAAATGTACCTATGACCTATTGATCCTGCTTAGTAATATGTGTGTATATTTTTATATATTATAGTTCTAAATGGAGCCCCTGGATTTATAAACTTGTGTGATGCTTTGAATGCCTGGCAGCTGGTGAAGGAACTCAAAGAGGCATTAGGCATTCCAGCTGCTGCCTCTTTCAAACATGTCAGCCCAGCAGGTAAAGCTTTGCTCTGGAATACCCTGGAACTGTTGGAAGTGCATTTCTTTGTAAATATTTTTTTTAATATTGAAAAATGCTAATATGAATATAGACATTCTATGAAGTCTAAAGATCAAGTCTGTTGTTAACAATATCAATATAAAGTATAAAATCTGACAACATGACACATACATACAATTGCATAACATCATTATGGGGATAGGAAGACTAGGCGCAGTAGTTTTTTGTGGTGGAAACACAGAGGTTTAGAAAACAAAAGTGAAATGGCTTAGTGCAATAGACTGTAATAAATACTTTTTCAGGTTTGAAAATGTAACTGAGTACACATAAAAATGTTCTTATGACACTTCATGTGTAGCATTTTATAGCCACTATGTGAGATACCTTTTGCTTCTATTGTTTTAAGTCCATAATTCCACAGCTTAGTTGTCTTTTCAGCAGATCTGCTGACAACGCAACACATAATTAGTTCTCAGATGTTTATTGGATGTTAAAGCAATGTGAGTGGGGAGGAAATAAATGGAAGAAATAAACTGTGATGTCAGGCAGGATGGAGAGAGCTAGTCTGTAATGAAGTAAACCAGCTTCATTCACACGCCAGGGGCTATCAGGCTTGGTGGCTCTGTTTTCAGAGGCCTGAGAAGAGATGTTTCTCCCACTACTTCACAACGATATTTTTGGTGTTTCATTATCTGGCTAAATAGATTTCTGTTTAATTTAGCACAGGTGCTAGAAAATATGCTGCATAGACTAGATGTTAGGAAAAATGTCTTGATTTAGTTGACAAGTGGTAACTTGAGATTTTTTTGGACTATTAATTATTTTATGATTTTTTTATACCAGGTGCTGCTATTGGAATTCCACTCAGTGAAGATGAGGCCAAAGTCTGCATGGTCAATGATCTCTATAAAACCCTCACTCCCATATCAACTGCTTATGCAAGAGCAAGAGGTCAGATTAAGAGGGTTTTTTTGTTTTTTCAGGGGGAGAAAAAGCAATATTTTGTCCCACATAGAATAGAATAAATATATAGATATTCTATATAATGTATAGTTTACCGAGTAAAATAAAAATCCTTTGTTTTATTATAAGATTTCAAATTATTTTAAATTTGTTTTTATTAGTATTTGAGAGTGATTATATGAGTGCCTGAGAATAAATTAGTTTATAAAAGTATATGTTGGTATTTTAATGTAACAAATGGAAACTCATTGGAATTTGGGGAATGTAATTTCAGATTAGGCTATTGAATGCATTTGTATTTTTTAATATGTGACTAAAATCGTATGGGTAGACAAGCCATACGATTTTAGTCTTGTCTACCTGTACTAAATTTGGCTAGAGTTATTATATTTTACATATTTCACAAACATTTAGTTTTTTAATTTAATTACGTATGAATAATATTGTAATATTTATGGAAGAATGTTGAGAATCCTAATGTCAGAGTATATACCGCCTACACGGGGTCAGCAAGCCAGGGCCCTTGGGCTGAATCCAACCTGCCACCTATTTTTGAAAAATACAGTGTTTGCCTTGTCAGTGGCTGATTTTTGAACCGCACCTGCTGCATTGAGTAGTTACAATAGAGACCATGTGGTGACAAAGCTTTAAAAAAATATTTACTCTGTGGCCCTTCATAGAAAAAGTTTGTGAAACTCTAGGAGGTAAAATTAAAGAATGCTTTCTTACAGATTCCTTCAGTTCAATGACTTATTGATCTGTTATTTAAATCTTGTGTAAACAATAAGGTTAGCTTTAGAGAAATGGATTTTATATTACCACATGGGGATTTTTAAGTCACTATCTTTTTCTACACAAGAATAGTTTGTGATAAATACCTCATTTTAATTTTTGTTCACAGGGGCTGATAGGATGTCTTCATTTGGTGATTTTGTTGCATTATCTGATGTCTGTGATGTACCAACTGCAAAAATCATATCCAGAGAAGTTAGTGGACATTCGTGTATTTTGATCCATGTGTAACTGAGTAAAGCTTTAATTGTTCATGATGTTCTCTGAAACCATAACCTGCAATATTTATATTTACAATACCTGTGAATTACTTAAGTTTATCATTTAATGTTTATATTTTATGTAGACCGTGGATCCTTGAATTAATTTTGGGATTTAGTGAGTTAATGGGGTTTAAAATGGGTATTTGGCTGTTTTAACAAAGTTTTTATTTGTATAATTAATTCTTTAAAATTCTCTAGTAGTTATATTAATGCCAAAGTTACCTTTCCCGAAGAGCAGAGGTTGCCATCTTGGATGGTGATATGATAATGAATCTTACTATAAACCTTCATAAGTCTGTAATGAAGGAGACCATATAATGGGAAAAACATAAACTACATTGATAAACAAAACAGCGCCGGTCAGTTGAATGCCAAACAAGCATTCCAGAAAGGTGGAGGTACTGTTGGAAGTGGGAATACAGAAAGAAGAAAAAAGAAAGTAACCCAAATAGCTTGGAGGGCAAAGAAAAGTAGATAGAGATGAAGGGGCCACGTGGCTTGACAATATTTAGTTGCTTTAGGGATTCTTTCCATGACCACTACCATCCTTATGTCATAGGTTATAGCAAGACTATGACATTTGTATCTTTAGTTATGTTAAATCTTTGATTTACTCCAATCTTATCTTGCTGTTGAGGAATGTGCCTTGCCAAAGGACATTAGCCATGTACTGGCAGAGCTAGAACTAGAATGTGCTGTTTCTAGTGTAAAATACCATATCTTGAAGAGAATACGTACTAAGGAATATTTCTTCTTGAGGTGCATATTTTAGAGCATGTCATTCATATATTCTTAGTTAAAACTGACAAAAAAAGTTTGAAAGGACAGCAAGTGAGATAGGGTCAGCATTAGAAAGTTGAATTCTAACATAGAATTGTCTTTCCTAATTATAGTATAAACATTATCCGTTGGAGACAGAAACCAGACAGTGCTGCTACATTATTTAAGGCAAATAATTCCTGTTAGATTTTTCATAGGTGGTCTCTGATTTTTTAAAATAGAGATTAATGTTTAATATATTTGCAGGTATCTGATGGTATTATTGCCCCAGGATATGAAGAAGAAGCCTTGAAAATCCTTTCTAAAAAGAAAAATGGGAACTACTGTGTTCTTCAGGTTAGTGCAATTCGTGTTTAAAACAGTAATTTGCTCTCTTATTTGGTGTCTTTTCCCCCATGATTTATGTTTCCTACATGTTGACACACTTCTAATTTATCCCTCCTTACTGCAGTTTCTTTATCCTTAATCTTACATTTTTAAAAGTACTATTAATTTTGGTTTTAAGATGAAGATAGCTTCCTTATTATTTTAATTTTTTGTAATTTTTTAAAAAAATAATTAATATATTTACATAGTTACCTATTCAAAAGCTATTAAATGTTATTTAATGGACTGTCCCCGTATCATTTCCTTCTGCCACTGCCACTTTTTTTAGAAATAACTAATATTTTAAATTTCTTGCTTACCTTTCCTGAAGTGTTATCTTTAAAGTTTATAAATGCTCATCAAATATTTGCATTTGCATTTCTTTTTCTGTTTCTCTACTGACACAAATGTGTCCTGCTTTACCCTCTTGGAAGTTTGTCCCATATCTGTGTATCTTAGCTTACCTAGCCAATCACCAGTCTTTAGCTACTGCACACAGCCCTGCAGTGAATAACCTAGAAAAGTCCTGGGAGTGAAATTAGGCCTGGATCACAGGCTATGTGTATTGGTAATCTTGGTAGGTACTTCCCCTTTCTTACTACTTTTTATGAGCTCTTCTATATTAAAGAAGTTAGCCCATAGTCTAAGATTATGCATTGTTAAAGCAAAGAGCTATTTAAATTCAAAGTAAAAATTCATAATACTGTTTTTCATGAGGTATTGATGTCAGAAAACCTGTGAAATCCCAACTACATATAATGGAAGTTGTTAAGTGAATTCCCTTGATTGTAAGATACCAATAATTCTATAGTTCACCGTAGATTCCATGTCAGCCTTTCAAGAAAAGAAGAAAATCCCACATTAAATGTATACACTTTCTTTTTTAAAAAGCCGTTTGACAGCAAGTTGAACCATATAGTTACAGCTGCTACTATGTTCTTCAGTTTCTTAATCAAGTGTTTTTAGTTGTCTGTTGCTTTTTAATTTTTTGTAAAGATGGGGTCTCACTGTGTTTCCCAGGCTGGTTTCAAACTCTTGACTTCAAGCAGTTCTCCTGCTTTAGCCTCCCAAAGTGCTGGGATTACTGGCATGAGCCCAACCAGTTGTTATGTCCTCTTAAAAACATAATGAAATGGCCATTATCAGTTTTATGTATTAATAGCATTATGGAAAATATTTTCCAAAACCTGAGCTTATTGTCATGACCTCTTCAACATCTGACAATAGCATGTTGGAAGGTGTCAAAGGAATACCAGGACTTAATTAGTATTTTTCTATTTGAAAATTTGGGTTAGTTTGCACATTGGACACATAATTACAACCATGAAACAACTTATTCCTCTACCTGGCATATGACAAGTTTCTTTTGACATCAGTTAATAGGCTAGCATATTGATTTTAGAAATTTTGTAATGTGTAGTGGGTGCAGTGGTGTTCGCCTGTAATCTTTAGTTACTCAGGAGGCTGAGGCAGGAGGATCATGTGAGCCCATGAGTTCAAGTCCAGCCTGGGTAACATAGCAAGATGCCATCTCTAAAAACAGAAACAAGCAAAAAAAAAAATTTTGCAGAAGGATGGGCTCAGTTAAAGTGGTCTTAGGCATAGTATTCACCACATCATGATGTCTTCTCAGTTCAAAATTTGGGAGAGGAAGATAGCAGTAAATGATGACATAAATTCCTTTCCAAATAGCAAAGACATAGCCTACAAATCCTGTTTTTTCCCTTTTAACTTTTAATTCAAGTGTTAGCTAGGTATTTTGTAATAAATTTTTAGGAAGAAAGGAAAATGAAAATT